TGGGCGGAGGCCCCCGGGGCCCCCCCGGGCCCCCCAGCCGCAGGCGCGATGGCCGTGGCCGTGGGCAGACCGTCTGTGAGTGCCGGGGCCTCGTTTCCCTCGCCCGCTGCTCCTCCTGCTCCGGGGGGTCTCGGCCTTGGGGCGGCAGGGACGGCGGGGAGCCGGGAGGGGCTCGGGACCGGGGCGGCGGTGGCCGTGGGTGTGTGCATGAATTTGGGCGCGTCTGGGGCTGGGGGACCGCGCGGAGCCGGGTGGTTGGGGCACTACGTGATGCAGCAGCGTGTCGTCTTGTCGCGCCCCCGGTCCCGGGCCGTGAAAGAAAAGGGACCCCTGTGTGCCTCCTTTCGAAGGCTTTCCGCCGTGGCTCATCCCAGCCGCTCCCGCGCACACCTTTTCCCTCGTGACAGCCGAGAAGGGCGCCGGCTGCGGGGGTTTCCTCCGACACCCCCGCGCCCAGGGGCCACCAGGGCACGGGATCGCGAGCCGGAGCGCCGTGTGTCACACGGGTGTAGCAGCCGGTCCCAGGGTGGGATTTCCGTGGTGGCTTCCCCGGTGCATTGTGAGAGCCCGGACACCCTGGGGCACCCACCCGGCTGACCCGGCCCTGCCCAGGATGTGGACAAAGCCCTGGATACACACACAAAGTTTTCACAAGGCTGCCTTGTCCGGGTGGGTGGAAGTGCCGAAATGCCGTGTGGCTGGGAGGCTGGGGCGGCGCGCGGAGGAGGGAGGCCAGCGGCTGGGGAGTGGGGAGGGGGGTCCTGCCTGGATTTGGAGCCGTGGGCTGGGGAGGGGCCGCGCATCCTGGGTGCGAGACCGGGTCGGCGCCTCGGGACCCGGCCGGGGGGAGCCGGGCTTGGAGGGCCGTGGTTGCGCCGCATCCCCCGGCGAAAGGCGGAGGGAAGGGGTGGCGGCCGCCTTTCCTTTTAGTGAAAGGAGTCGAGCTGGGTGGGAAAGGCGGAGCCCTCTCTTTTTCTTTCCTCTTTTCTTTGTGGATGTTTAGAGTCCACTTTTCGTCTCACGGACTTTTTGGGGCCCAACGGGTGAGGTCCTTCCCCGGGTGAGGTCCTTCCCGGTCTACCTCCTCCTTCCCCTTCCCACAACGGTGCCGCTGCAGGTGGCGGCTGGGGAGGTTCTGTAATTACAGACAGAAGTCTTGCGGAGATCCTGGAAGCTTTGAAACCCCAGAAACGCAAGGCTGTGCTCTCAACTCGCAGCTCTTTCCCCGCTGTCCTCCGAACTCCTTTTCAGACATCCGAGTCTTGAACGCCACCCCACGCCCACGCCCAGCGGGAAGTTCGTGGAGTCCCTCGGCGTAATCGAACTTGGTTTGGCGGTTTGGCTGCCGGCGTGTTTTCAAAGACATTTTCCACGGTCAGAAAACGTGCAGTGGTTACATTGAAGTGTAAATGTGGGTCTTTAGAGCATTTGAAACTCTACTACTTCCGTGACTTATACTTAGGAATTCTGGTCTTCACTGGCACACAAATTGTGCTCTTGAAAATTAGCGGCCATAGATCGTTGTTACCGCGGGAGTTTGTATAGTCGTTGGGCTACTTCCTTTATTTTCTTCAGGTGAGGAAATCGAGGTCCACAGAGGTCAAGTGGAGCGGGTTAAATTATCCTTCTTGCCACCCTTCCCCACCCCTTCTGTTATCAGGGCGCCATTCAGAGAATTAGAATAACAATCCACCCTTCCCCACCCCTTCTGTTATCAGGGTGCCATTCAGAGAATTATCTGGTTTAGGTAAATTACCAAGTGGCTACGAATGCAAATATTCTGTGTGTGTGTGAGTGTGTGTGTGTGTGTGTGTGTGTGTGTGGTGTCTTTTTCAGTTTCATCTATTGCTGGGACATTCCTGAGGGGTGGGGAGGTGGAAAAAATAATTTCCTGCACATTTTCTATAAATTAGTTAGTTCATATATGTCATTTAAATAGGAACAGCATGTGGATTTAAGATTTAGTTGTGTGGCCATAATCATAGCCAACACCAGGTCTGCCAACCAGATGTGGGCTTAATCCCACAGAATTCTTGTGTAAGAATCCCTTTCATTCAGATAATAAATAGAGTTGTTGTTGTTTAGTGTTGTGTACAGAGAAGGTAACTGCTTTCTGCACCTCCCTTGTCACAGATTAAGATGAAATTACTTGCAGTGTAAAAGCAGGAGACTTTCTGAAGGGAGCTATACAGTGATCAAACATTGACAACAAAGTTCAAAAGCCTTTTAATACATTGCAGAAAATGTATCACATTTGAAAACTTGTTTCACTGTTATTTTGTTCATTCATTGGGTTACTGTCTTAAGTGTGGTCTCTGCAGTTGCTTCTTCCAAACGTCCCCAGTGATTGCAGAAGCGTCCTTAAACTTAGTTCTAAGAAGCTACACTGCATGATTAACATTAGAATTCTCTGCCCCTCCACTCCCATTATTTATTGTATGATTTGAACGGCAGAATGGAAGGGTGTGCTGAGGGAAGAGAATCACTGATGGTGAGTGGTGTATGAATGAAGTTTCCCGATAGGGATTTAGGGTTAGATTTTTTTTTCTAAGTTAAGAAAGCATGATCGTCTCTCCCTTCCCTATAAACCGCCTGTCCCATTGTAGATTGAGGGAAAATTCAATCTGAACAATTTGTCCTCAATTTTAGATATTATTTTTTAAGAGTTTTTTTTTGCCTTCGGGCATGTGCACTCTTAGGGGAGGAGAGGGGAGAGAGACAGAGACAGTGAGAGAAAAAGTGAGGAATCACCCCCTAGGGGGGTGACCACAATGCATCCCTTCTCCCAGGATTTTGGGCATGTAGGTATATGCACCCAGTGTGAGTTTCATGCCACTGGGTCTGGGACTCGAACCGCAGTCAGTCTTGTGAGAGTCCAGCAACTTAAAACTATTGCACCACCTGCTGGCCCCTAGATATTCTTGAATGGGGACATTTTAGTAATTCCAGGAAAATCTGGCATTTGAATGGTTGGGATGCTGATATGTCACATGCGGTGTTTTCTGCCTCAGTAAGTGGTTGTGGTCACTTAGAGCCATTTACACCTCAGTGCTAAGTTCAGATGTTCTTCAGTGGATTTGCTGTTGGCTGCAGAACCAGAGCCTCGGTGTTTAACCCCAGCGTCTCCACTGCCCTTTGGGGCTAGGTCTGGAGAACACCCTGGAGCGCATCTGTTGGTTCCAGAGTGAAATTTAAGATTAGCTGAAGCATTCCCCCAGGGCTGTATGTACATTTTGGATGAAATAGTATTTTTGCATCCAAGTTCCAGAGCAGCTATTATCTCGTTTAAACAGAACATGGTCATTTACTTCACCTGGATATCCGACTTTGGGTAGCCGATCCATTTTTTCTTAAGGTGTCCATAACGTTCTAGATTCTAGGAGATGAAAGGAACTTCAGAGGCGATTTCGTTCAGTCTCTTTCCCAGTCCAGAAATACTTGTTTTTCAGACAGAGAGAGATAGAAAGAGAGAAAGCACCCCTCACAGGGCCTGGTAAAGCCAGGGGATGGCTCCAGAGCTATTTCTTACTTTATCACAGAGGTTTGTGTTTAAACGCTTTTCTAGTGGTGATTTCCTAATGATCATCTCAAGGAATGCATGTCATTGTTCTCTTATCTGTTGAGCCAAAAAGAAAAAGTGAAGGAAGTTCACCATTTGCTCACTTAACAGTATTTATTGAACACCTACTATGTGTCAGGCACTGTTCTATGTGTTGGAGATAAAGCAGTGGACAAAAGAGAAATTCCCTTCTTATTTGGAGCTTTTGTTTTGAGAGATTTAATGTCTGTATTTAAGTGACATTTCAGTGGGGTGTGTAAACCATTTAGGAAGAAAGGGAATTATGTACCTATTGCTAAGTCAATGGGTGTGATTCTGGTGAAGGATCTTATCTGTCTAGGGATCATGATAGACAATTTCTAAAGACATGGTCTGTTTTCAGCCCTTGGAAGGGGAGAACAAGAGGAGGGGAGTACTGAGATGTTTCTTTTCCTTTTTTATTTATTTATTTATTTATTTATTTATTTTTTGGAGAGATTTTCACTGTAGGGCGCGTGCGCTCGCCAGACAGACAGAGAGAGACAGAGAGACAGAAAGCGAGAAATCACCCCCCAGGGGGGATGGTCACGCCGCAATCCCTTCTCCTCCATTCTCCTCTCGGGATCTTGGGCACGCACGCACACGCGCCCGGCGTGAGTTTTAAGCCACCGGGTCCGGGACACGAACCGCGGTCGACTACGTGGGAGTCCAGCGACATAGCCATTACGCTAACTGCTGGTTCCTGTTTTTTATTTATTTTTTTGAAGAATGATTTTATTTAACATTTATGTACTTATTTACTTATTTTAATTTGATCAGAGAGGGACCGAGTGAGAGAGAGAGGGAAAGGCAGAAAGCAAGCCACCAGGTCTGGGACTCAAACCACAGTTAGCCGTGTGGGAGTCCAGCGCCCTTAACTACTACGCCACCCACCAGCCCCTATTGTCCCTTTTTATTAAATCGCCACTCCTACAACCTGAAGATATGCCCCAGATGGAGGGCTCTGGCTAGTGTACCTAGAAAAGATGAATGAAACTGAAAGCGGTCCAGGGAAGGGCCACCCCAGTGATAAAGGGTATCCTCTAGGGGTGGTTTTTCAAAATTCGAACTTTCTAGTCAGTAATATAAATGATATACATTAAGAGTCTATAAGCAAGCATTAGGAATATAAGAAGTGTTGGAAGTGCAGTAATCTTCCCTTTTCCAATCTTTGAGAGCTGTGAGTTATTGGGTTATTGTAAAAGTCATGATGTATTTTTCTATGCAACGATGTGTCATGGCTTTTCCAACAAGCCAATGACCTTTGTTTATATTTTAAATAATAGTCTATAAAAAGGATGTCTACATTACAATGAAAAATAGACCCAATGCCTTGATTAAAAGAACAACACGATCTCTACTGCTCATCCTGATACAACTCTTTTATGGGCAGTGGATTTTCAGCTGTTTCTTGGGATTTACATCTGCAAACATAACCCGTCTTGCATAAACTGCTGCTTAAAATCAGTCTGTATACCTGGATAGACTGTCTGACCAT